TGTCCGTGAATGATCTTGTAAACTGTTCATCTGATGTAGGAAAAACCTTTTTAGGGTAAGTAGACATGTTATGTAGATTTTCAAGGTCATTTTGCGCGCATGCAAGAGCGCGCATTGCAATAGCCGTAACTTTTCTATTTTTTGATGCAATGTGTTGAAATCGGACTATAAGAATATAAGTATAGAAGATTGTCATGAAAATGGTTGGTGAAACAAAAATCTCAATATCTTATTCGTTTTTTGACGAAATACTTTGAAATTTAAAACATAAGCATTAAGATATCCTACGATATGATATAAAATAATTTTCATGAAATCACGACATGCACGTGCGCTGCAACCTGATTGGCTAAAACTTTAAATGGCTATAACTCCCTTGGTTTTCAGCCAACAGAATGGGATTTAGAACATAGATACACTGTAGTCTTAATGGACCCCTACAAGAAGGTATGGTCATCATGCACATGCATGCACGTGCGTGCACGTGCAATGAGTATAATTACAAATGCACTTGATTTAGCGTATTTTCGAATACTTTTTGATCAAATGCCTTGATATTAAGTACATTAAAATAAATTAGTAGTGTAGATACAATGATATGGTCATTCCGCATATGCATGCAAGTGTGGGCACGTGCAATGCAAAAATTTGATAAATACTTGGTATACTTCAGGAAAAACGTTGTTTAAGTTTAAGATGCATAGAGTTTAGTTTATTTGATGAAGCTTAAGAATCAGAATATATTTCTGTCACTAGTTAATGATTTAAAATGCACTTAATTGAATGGTCTTGTCTATCAGAGCAGGTCTATGTGCTAATACAATATATACCTTTCTTTAGGGTGGTCTATAAGTGACCAATAAGCATTCAATAAACAAGAAAAAAAAATATTATGTGCCTCAAAATATCTCAATTGTAAATTTAAATGTTTGTCACACAGGTCATTTGGTACCTTAAAATAGCATGAAAAAGTTTACTCAAGAATTCATACAGCTCCAGCATCTTTTAGGAAAAAATATTTTATGTTTATAATCATTATAAATCAAGTCTATTTTTTCAGTTAGACAATTTGTTTATGTTCAAGCAAGAGGTCCATGGGCCACATCACTCACATGAGTAACTTTGACCATGCTAATTCTTCACCAGATTTTCCCCTCTTGTACTACCCATTGTGACCCCACCCTATCCCTACTGGGGTCATGATTTGAACAATTTAGAATCTACACTATCCCAAGATGCTTCCACATAAGGTTTCATCTTTTCTTGCTTAGTGGTTCTTGAGAAGAATTTTTAAAAAGTTTTTTCCTATATACTTGGATTCCCTTTTGTGGCCCGGCCCTAGCCCGGGGGTCATGATTTGAACGGTTTAGAATCTACACTCCCCCAAGATGCGTCCACATGAGATTCTGCTTTTTTGATTCAGTGGTTCTTGAGAAGATTTTTTAATTACCCTACCCTATTTTTGTCTATTCATGATTATCTCCCCTCGTAAGGAGACTTGGCCCTTCATTTTGGCTAAAATTGTCCCTGTGGTTCTTGAGAAGATTGATTGATTGTATATTTTTTAATGTCCCTCTCTAAAATTTTCACTCATAAACAGATGCCATCACTTGCCATTAGAGAGCTACAAATTTTGTCCTATACAGTAAAACTCTATTAATACAAACACAGATATTGCGAATTCACAGATATAGCAAAGATTTTTTTGATCCCCAACTACATTAATTTTATGAATTTCTTATACAGATATAACAAATTACAGATACTGCGAAGTAATTTCACAGGTCCCATTGACTTTGTTATAGCTGAGTTTTACTGTAGTTGGCACTCAGGGCCATTGAGCAGGGAGGGGTATTTTTTGTGCAAGCACCTACTGCGACACGAGACCGGTTTATATGGTCTCATCCGAAGGACCGTTCTCCATGTCTCACTGAGAAGAAGTTGAAAATGTAAAAACTTTACAGAGGAACAGATGGATGGACATACACCGGGTTATCAGAAAAGCTCACTTTAGCCTTAAGTTCAGGTGAGCTAAAAAAAATTTTTTTTTACGTCACGTTTATTAAGATCTCCAGCTAGCACATGGAACAGTAGTTCTCCATGGATCTAAGTGCTTCATTTCATTTCTGATAATTAAAAGTATTCAATTACAAACAACTCCATTGTGACGTCAATGACATATCAAATTATTAAACATTCATAAAAATCAGGCCTACACTATGAAGATTTCCTGTGCATAACAATTAATGAACAACAATTTGTATTATAACATAATGATATGCACCATTCATTCATGTTCAAGGGATGCTTGCCATTAACTTCAATGTAAATGAAATTCATGTATAAAACATTTTTACTTTCCATTGCTAAAATATAGCCATTTAAATCATATTTTCTTGTTTGGTGAAATTGAAGCAGAAATTTCAATCCAAACTGATCAGATAAGTGGTTTTTTTTTAATTATCCCAAAACATTCTTTGCATACATCAAGTACATTTATATTTTGATCTGAATATTAGTTATTACATTTAGAATATTCATAGTGTCCCCCGCTTTCTGAAATCAATTGTTTTAATTTTATATAGTATTTGGGTCTGATCTGTCAGCATTTTTCAAGGCAGCTTCAACGACAAAAAAACTTTAACCTTGGAAAAACTTTTGATTAAGTGTAGCTATACATTCTATATTTACAATGTGTATTCCTTGTGACATTACCTTTCTGCATAAATAGCACAAATTTGACCTCAATATCGCACTTGACCTTGAATTAGACCCACTTTTAGCATGAAAAAACGCTTAACTTTGTATTTTCCAAGTGCGGGAAATCCTTTGAATGGTCACACGAAAACATAAACATTCAAAATTTCAAATAGAGAGATTCTTTGTGGCAAGACCGAAAAAATATTAATTGGAAAAACTGCTTCAGAAACCTATTACATTGACTGTGAGATTTTGTACTTGTGATAAAACTTTAACCTTGGCCATAACTTTTGAATGGAGAATTCAAACACTACTTCACATATTGAATCAACTGAGAAGACCTTGCATTGGATACAAGAGAAACAAATGTGTGACCTTTTGAACTTCACAATATCTAAATGATGGCAAAATCTTTAAAAATTTCATTAATAAAAATTTCTAAAATTAAATGTCTAAAAAACAATTTTAGAATTTAGAACAAAATTACACAAGATATGTTGATTTTAACAACGTTTAACATGTATATCATCACCGATTATGGCCTTGACCTTGGAGATTTCTGTGACATGTGATAAAACTTTAACCTTGGCCATAACTTCAATGTAAATGAAATTCATGTATAAAACATTTTTATTTTCCATTGCTAAAATATAGCCATTTAAATCAAAATTTTCTCTTTGGTGAAATTGAAGCAGAAATTTCAATCCAAACTGATGGATAAGTGGGTTTTTTTTTTATTATCCCAAAACATTCTTTGCATACATCATGTACATTTATATTTTGATCTGAATATTAGTTATTACATTTAAATTCTTAATTTGTACAGTATTGTGAGTATTTGATATTTATCATATAGTTCACAGAAATTCATCATAAATACATTACAAATCAAGCTTTTTTTCATATACTTTTGAGGGAACAGTGTATGGATAAAACCTACATGATGAAATTGATGTATATATTTTTTGGTCATGTTTCATATTTCAATGAGAGGTCTCTGCACCTGAATTCCCTTTGTTCATACAGTTAGCTTACAGAATGTGTTATTTGTAACCTTCCATACAATGTGCACATCCTGGTCATTATATTTAATGTCGACATTGATCAAAATCACAAATCTGAACCAAATGACAAGTTGATGAATGCCAAAAATTATCACAGTGGGCAATAATGAAGTTTAAAACCTTTAATATTTAACATTAACATTAATTAATTACTAGACTGTGCCTTATCAGGACAATTCTGCCTATTTTATTTTAACAGATTAGTTGAAACTTGAATAATTTAATTAAACACAAAATTAAAAAATTGAAACAGGAAAATAAAACTAAGATACTTTAAAGAATTGAATAACTTCAAAAGTTTTTCTTTATGTAATCATTAATCCTGTTAACAAACTTTCTTAATTTATTACAATGCAATTTTTAAAAAACTTTTTTTTTGAACAATTTCTTATTTTCAAATTTGATAAAAATTGATTTCTCTTAATTTCATCACTATCCAACGTGTCCATTGAAGACATAATTTTTTTTTCCGACGGAGGGGGAATTGTGTATCAAACATTAACGCTTGACATAATCTCTGACTTTTGTTTAGTTTATTGTCTTCTTCATGATTGTCACTTTCTAATATTTTCTTGTTGAAGAATAAAGTATTTCTTTATTCAGAATTCTAATTTAGAATTTGCTGTTCTGCAGCATATTTTTTTCTAATACCAGAAACCACTAGCAGTCACATGCATATTTCTCAAGCAGATATAAAATTAGTCTACAATTATTTGGTGAGTCCATCATTAAAAGAATGTTTGTGTGCCCTCTTCCAACTCAAGGTAAAAGTATTAATTTGATATGTAAGATTTTGATGTCTAAATTAAATTAAGTAATTTATAGAACTTCTTGGAGGAGGAGGAGGAGGAGGAGGGGGGGGGATTGGTTATTTTTATACTGCGACAGATGCTGCATAGTAACCAGACTCAAAATCTGTGGTACATAGAAAGATTAAAATGAATTATACATTAGCAAATAAGAAAAATGAATTTGTAAAGCACTGTATTTTTAAACTCTGTATGCCAAAAGCATAAAATCGTCTGTTCTTATCATATATAACATAAAAATACTAATAGACATGGAATGTTCAGTGATAACTTAAAATTTCTATACTTGTCTATGGATTTTATATTTATGATATATGAAGATGTGCAATCACATTATCCCTGTAACGATATAAACACAGATGTACAGCCATTTTGATTCAATGACACTCCATTCAAACAATATTTATTTCAATATAACAATATTTACCAGTATTTAACGAGTGCTGTGACTTGAAGAGGGTTCGGTTGGTCGGGGTAGGTGCGCCGACAAGCATTATAAATGGCCTCTAGCCCTGGGGGAGTCACGGGGATCGAAGACTGTGAATAATTTGAAGAATACACACTTTCCCGATCGTGACGATCGTCCATGTTTACGTCTTGTTGTCCACCAAAATCACAGTTACTTTTCCCTTTCATATGTTGAAATATGTATTTATCCGCGTCCAAAGTAGCTACATTCTATCCCAGATAGCCTCTTTTACCATTTGTTTCCCTTGAAATAACAAAACAAATGCTTCTTTCAGCTCCGACATTCCACTGTTCTGAAAATTAATAAACTGGTTCTCTCATTCTGGAGAGAGAGACATAATTAACGCAAAGGCCACAAGAACGGATAATCAACATTTATGTTTTATTTCCAGATTTAATTGCTAAGCAAAAAGAATGCAATCTTACATCAAACAATTAAGTCGAAATATTGATGGAATTCCCTCTTTCGTTATGTTTTGATTTTTTTTTTTTTTTAATAAAAAAATAACAGAGTTTTACGGAGACCAGTTTAGACCACCCATGAGATCTCGTACGATCTCGCAAACATACACCGGTGGATCAAAGTGGGTGGCTTTGTCGTGACGCATACGCGGTCCCCCATTATTAAGTTTGTATCCCGGGAGGAGTTATTCAAATGAAGATTAAGAAGTGTTGGAATATTGCTCCTCGCCCACTTCTTCACAGAACAAAATAAGTTAAAGTTGGGAAAAGGATTTTTTTTTTACTGGACTAGCCTACACATGTACTATAATTAAACACCTAAAAATCAACATTTTAAAATGATATTCACTTATTCAGATATGTGATAGAAGAGATTTTTTTTTGTAGGACTGGAAAAAAATTTTCTTACACTTACCCCCCCCCTCCCCACTTTCAATTTGCTTCCGACGCCAGTGTAATATATAAAGTAACATTATATATTCATTTGAGACACTTATCATATAAATGCTCTCTCTGGTTTGGATTTTTTGGGGAGGGGTTTCAAGGGTTGTTAGCCCTCAACGGAATAAAAATCCTGAATTCGCGACTGACAGTATACACTTCGCTCCAGCTTATATATTATATCTACCTTTTTTTTTTTCTTTTATTGGTTTTGAACCAAAAATGAAATAAAGAAACATTCTGACAAATTAATCTATTTTTTAGTAACGAAGGTAATCATTAAATTTGCAAAGTGTGACATCCCTTGGTGTAGTAGGCCTGTAGCTGTGTTGTTGAGAATCTTAGAACAAACCTATCCACGCGGGCTAGGGAGCCGAAGAGGACACGACATATAAAATACTACATAGAAAATAAATTACTACAAAGTATACTTGTTCCCCTCTCAATAATGACGTCTGAAGACCTTTTTTATTGTGTCTCCAATCCAGGGGCGGATCCAGCAATTTTTGAAAGGGGGGGTTCCAGGGTTGTGTCCCTCTACCCCCCCCCCCCCCTAAAAACTTTCAAGCAAAGATTCACACACACATGTATGGTAAAATATGATTGTGGAAAATAATATCTTAAGTTTGTTCTACGTCTTTTTTTTTGAAAAGGTACCCCCAGTCCGTATAAAAAAGTAACACATTTAAAAAACTACCGAATCCTTACAATTGAATGGATTTGCAACATTTCCGAAGAGTACAATGAATTTTCTCTAAGAATTTAAAAATTAATCCTTTTTGGGGTGGGTATAAAACAATGAATTAAATTCTAGTTCCTTCAAAAGATTTAATTAAAAAAAAACGGCACATACTTGTATATAGCCAATACAGCCAAATTAAGATCGCGGGAATCTAATATCAAATTTCATGTTACATGTTACATATCATATCTTAGATATAGATAAAAATAAGTAGAATATTTTCTACCATTCACTCACAAAAAGTAATAGAGAAGGTGAATGGAAAAACTAGAGAAGTGTGAGAATCTATATATTAAATACATATTTAAGTTAGACGTACAAATATTTATTCTCGGGAAACGTTTTATTCCCCTTCTTTCTCTCTCTCTATCTCTCCACTTGGCAAAAAATAAAGGGGGGGGTTCCAACCCCCGGAACCCCCCTCTGGATCCGCCAATGCAATCTGAACATCTTTGTACCCACCCCCTTTGGCCAACTGAATTTGCTTTCTCTAAACTAGGTCACCATTTTGAAGTCACTTGAACCGATCAACTTTTTCCCAATCGGCAATCCTCAGCGGACTCCGCTACGTTCCATTCAAACTTAGTGTGCGAGGTACGAGCCACCCGAGGTGCTCCGAGTGACTTTTTCTGTAGTCTCGTTTTCCCCAGACTCTCGCTCTCGAGACTTTGCCCGAGCGAGAGTCTGGTCTGATTCCTATTTAATTTTTGTAATTTCAAATCGAGGCTTACCGAGAAATCGGTATGGATTTTCATTGGCTGACGCATTCTCTTCGAATTAAGATCTGTATTCTTTAAAAAGTAGGCTGCGCCTTTACTTTTACCTGGTTTTATAATAAAATACCTCTGTCTGCTTTACAAGGAACAAAAAACGCACATATCTTTGTTTAAAAAGTAAATTCTCATATGTATTTTCATTGGAATCGCCATCTTGTTAGCCGGTTTAGCGACCTCTACTGGTTACAAAAATTAAATAGGAATCAGACCAGACTCTCGCTCGGGCAAAGTCTCGAGAGCGAGAGTCTGGGGAAAACGAGACTACTTTTTCTGACCCAATCGTCGTACCTGGCACGATGCATGATGGGTAATATCGGCTCACAATCTAGTGTGAGTAGTGGAGGAGGGGATGCAAAATTATCAGAATTAAGTACTATATATGTTTATTGTAAAAGGACAGTGTTTTGCGAGATATTCACTCATAAATCTATTTTTAATAGCATGAAAGTGGGTTAAGACAGTTTAAGATGGCATGTTTGTACGATTCTTTTAATCAATTTATTTTTTAAGGATTTCAATCCCTAATAGGACCAAATTCTCTACCCTTAAATGTCCATCAAGTACATAATACTCTGACATTATATTAAAGCATTTCATAGTCAAAAAGGTTTGCCTAGGAGAAAGTTTCAAAAGATTCATTAACTAAGCAGTACGTTTTTAATTTAATAGAAATTCAAATAATAAGAATATCATTAATTGCTGTTTAGGAAAGATGCATTAAAACAATAGAAATAGAATGACTATCAAAAAAAAAAAATTACCAGAGAAATTTTTTACAATTAGTTTTTTGAATTAATTTAGATAAAGGGAAATAACACTTACGAAAATTCAAGGTCATATATAGGGACATATTCCATCCTTACATGCTAATAGTAATAAATAGAAATTATGTCTAGATAAACCGAGTATTCAACACTAACATATCTTTAATGTATTCAATTTCATTGAATCTGTTGCTATTAGGGATTGAATACAGATGATACAAACAAAAAAAAATGGATGCCCGGATTAGTATACTAGTATATTTTTTGGCGTAATTTCATTGAAAATTATGCAAATGAAAAATTTCTAGAATATAAAGAATTTGTAAACCTTCTGTGATGTTCACAATTCTGCCTCTCTGAAACCATCCTTATTTATCTATACAAATATTTTTCACTTCAAATCCCATTTTTGTGAAAATTTGAATAAAAAATAAAAACTACACGATGAAAGTAATTTATTTTACTCATAAAAACCTAACTCAAGTTGTTATTTTCATATTTTTGACAAAAGTTTGTTTGTATCATCTGTCCTTAATTTAACTAAACAATATTCTATGAACATAATTGGCAAAGTTACAAATATATACTAATCGTTTGAACGATTTAAAAAAATGATTGTGCAATTAAGAAAACAGTTCTACGATTCAAAAAAAAAACTTTATTAAGTTTTTTTCGATAGTTCTTCGATGATGTAAAACCGATAGTTAGTAAACAAACATAATTATTTAACTGATGTCTTAACCATGCAGAAATTTTGCACAGTCCTACAAACGAATTTCTAAATCGTACAGAAGATAAAACAAACAAACAAACAAACAAAGTATTTAATACCACCCTCACCTTTGAAAATTGCACTTACTTCTTCCCATATGACAAGACAGAGTAGCTGATCAGAAAACCTTGGCTTTTGAAGATCATAAAATTAACACGTACTACATTTCTACTCTATTTATAAAATAATTCCTCATGATAATGAAAAACTAGGCATTTTAATATTCAATTAACATGGAACTCGGAAATTTCACATCTTGTTATTGGTCATCAACAAAATTACTTTATAAAAAACATTGATTTTTCACAATTAAATGTACACTGACGTAGATATTTGAAGGATGCTGGAGTCTTCGGAGACTTCGATGCTAGGAGGTTATAAAACTTTTTCAGTATGTACTCAGTGCTCAAACTCATACTCCGTTCTATAAAACCTCTCTTGTGCTCCAAATAAAGAGATTAGAGAGGAATTTTAAGTAGGGTATGGTTTTGGAGTACTGAGTTTGAGCACTGAGTATAAGAACGAACTTAGAAAGTTTTGTAACCTCTACGCCAGCTGGCCTTCCAAAAAAAAATATGCTGGAACTTCTATAGGCACTAATTATGTGTTGATTTAAACATAATTTTTTAAAACTCTTCTCTCCTCTTGTATATAAAATTTAGCAGATAAACTAGTCGCAAGGTGATAAAAAGTTATAGATCGATGAAAGGGTTTTTGCCAAAATTGTGATCTTTTTAATTTATACCGTCCTGTTGAATGAAGTGGTTTTTTTTTAAACCACTCACCCCTTATTATTTAGCAAACATACAAGTACAGGTAGTGCAAGGTTATGATGAACAGGGATACCTCTTCTAAATTAATTTTCTCAGCCTGTGGTTCTAGGACCTCTGGTGTTAGGATGGGGCTGTGTTTTAATATATATGTAGTGAAAAGACATTCTCCTCTGCGCGTGGGCACACTGTAAAAAAATAACTAGTTAATGTCACGAAGAAAATAGTAGATTCACTGTCCATACAATCACTACCTTAATAGTAGTTTTACCAGATATTGGTAAATTTAAGATGGGTTTTTTTTAAATTTAGAATATTATTTAGTAACACACAAGTAGGTAGTGCAAGGTTATGATGAACAGGGATCCACAACTCTAATTTAATTTTCCAGTAAACTGAAAGTTTACTAACCACGACCAATGCTTTACGAAACACACTAGTTAAATTCACTAAGTTTTTCTTTCAGTGCATCCAGGACACAGAGAGAACACATTTAGTAAAAAACAAGGATATTTTTAACAGACTGTTGAAATTCTGGACCACTTGCACAAGGGCAATATGATACTGAGCAGGGTCTATTGATCTAGAAAAGTGATTCCCCTTTAATTTTCACATAATTACAGTATATACACGTGCAAGTCGGCATTTTGGGAATTTTATTTTTTTTCCTACCCGAAGTCTATGTCTGACTTAAAAAGTTTAAGCGAGTCATAAAAATTGGTATTGTTCTGGATGGCGAAACCTACTTAGTATATGGTATTTCTTATGCCCTGATGGGCCCCAGATTGGTATAAATAAATCTTATCTTATATACGTTTCTGACGATTACTCTTGACAAGAGTTCGTACATAATACTTACCGGGTATCCATGTATTCTAAGATTATGCAAAAATTGAGCAATAAAAGTGCAAATATTATTTTCAGTTTGTATTATTTATTCTGTTATATCATTTATATAACATATTATTTCAGTAACTTGTGACCTACTTAGTGTAAATCTATCGTTTATCGGTTAACTGAACGCAAATCTGATATAATGCCAAAGTTGGGCATTAATGAATAATATTGAAATATTCATATGTACCACCTAAAATATTTTTTTTTTAAAAATATCATTTAAACATATTCAGAATATAATTCTTATAAAAAAAAAACTCAATATAGTTAATAAAGTCAATTGTTTACCATGTACTTTGTTCATTAAACATTCATCAAAGAGAAAGAGAGGCCAATGAAACATGGAGATAACGAACAGTATTCAAGATCAAAAGTCAACAAAACAATACAAAATAGGAACAGAGGAAACACGGACCTCTAAAACATCAGAGGTGGGATAAGGTGCTATGGAGGAGTGAGCATCCAATGCCGACCGGTCACACCCGCCGTGTGCTCCTTGTCATGATCGGGAAATAACGGAAAAATCCGTCCTCAATTCAGTGTGTACAATTAGTATGTAAAACGTTAGTCAGCATTTGACTCAATGATAAATTGTATTTGCTGACAAGGTCATTGTATCGACCATAGAACTTATGAAATGATGACTTTAAACGAGACGGCTGAAATTCTTGTTTCATCAACTTGTTTGTTAATAATTTACCTCGTTGTAGAAATTGTTCCTAGGTAGAGTATGCTCTTACGTATCGAATCAACTGAGATATATAAATCCCGTATGCATGTGATGAAGGTATATTGCTGCATAAGTAAGGGAAGATGAAGACAGAAAATTTAAAGTCATCACATTTATCAAAGAGCTTGGTTGTAAGATTACCATTAATGTCCTTTTCAAATAAAATATCCAAATATGAAACATAAATCTCGTTGGAGATTCTTCTGGGCTAAATATTTAGTCTGACGCCCACTCCAAATATCTAGTCTCCAGCAGAATCTCCACCGAGGTAATGAAACACTTTAACAGATCTGCCAGACTCTGTGGTATCTTTAATCTCAAGCTCACCAGGATATAATATATCGACATAAGAATGAAAATTAACATTGTTAATTGACAGTACGTTGTAGATATATCTAAATGTCGAGTTGAAGGCCACAGCAAGTGTTTTCTTCTTTTCACACATAAGATTTTGGACAAATTCTGCTTCATATGAATACAAAAATAGGTCTGCTAATAACGGGGCACAATTGGTACCAATGGGTTGTTGGAAGACCTGGTCTCCAAAAACAACATAGATATTGTCAATCAGAAACTCAAGCATCTTTTAATGTCAACTTCAGAGTGCTTGTGTGTACAATCAGAATGTTTTTTAACAAAATAATTTTGTTCCATCTATCTGTTCAATACATTGGCCAGTGGCTGGTAAGCATGTATCTCTGTTGTTTTTACTTGCATTTACAATCTTAGTATAGAATGGATCTCTCAAAAATTTTTTGGGTTATATTTTGACTTTTTATTATATATTGTATGGCATTCTTAATTTCTTATTGCATTGTTCATTAATAAAACAAAATTAATTGATTCAGTGAGTTTTATTTGTACCAATAACTTTTGTATATAATGTACAATTTCATTCCTCCTTATCATAATGCATACAAAATCTGCTAAATTTAATAGCTTTGAACAATAACAACATACAAATCATTTGAACAAAATTAAAAGAACTAAATATTTAGACCACTCATAACAGAAATAAAATAAATCTAAGAAATTTAACTATAAAAAAGTCATAAAAATCGACTTAAATATTTATATGACTGTCTTAGTTTTCCTATCCTCTGCTGGTTATAGTGGAATCATAAATATCATGGAGGTTTAATTTTGTGGGTAACTTTCTCCCATGAACTTTCAGACAAGATTAACAAGATTTTAACAAAATTCATTCTACCAGTGATTAATTAAAAAAACATAGGTAATAAAAGATTACAAAGCTCACCTCGACAAATGTTATCAGTGTAAGTAATGCAAATCTCACATCATATTTTCTTAATATCTAGTATTTATCCCAAAAACAATATTCTTGCAAGTTTTGTTTAACCCCTTACATGGCATATACACATTTCTACGCATGTAGATTGAAAAACATGTATAGTGTAAACAAATACTCATAAATTTGTTAATACTCCAGATATCAAGGACTTCAAGTTCATTGGGATTAATCTGTTCCCAAAACTTTAACCTGGTCTCTTGTATGGAAAATATAGGTCAGATTCAGCATCCGAAGCAAGTCTGGTAGTGTCCATCCCTAGATGCATCTCCATTCAAGTTTGGTTCGGGTTTTAAAAGTTACTTGGGAATGAAAATGTAGGTCAGATCCAGCATCCGATAGCAATCTTGTGAGTGTCCATCCATTTGATGCATCATCCATGCAAGTTTGGTTTGGATAGGGCTTATAGTTACTTGGGAATGAAAATGTAGGTCAGATCCAGCATCCGAAGCAAGTCTGGTAGTGTCCATCCCTAGATGCATCATCCATGCAAGTTTGACCCTTTCGGGTAGATCGGATTTATAGTTACTTGGGAATGAAAATGTAGGTCATACCCAGCATATATCTGGTAGTGTCCATCCCTAGATGCATCATCCATGCAAGTTTGTTCCGGGTAGGGCTTATAGTTTCTTGGGAATGGACCTGCTCCAAAAACTTTAATTTGGTCACCCATCTGGAAAATGTTGGTAAGATTCAGCATCTGAAGCAAGTCTGGTACATGTAGTGTCCATCCCTAGATGCATCATCTATGCAAGTTTGCTTCAGGTAGGGCTTATAGTTACTTGGGAATGAAAATGTAGGTCAGATCCAGCATCCGAAGCCAGTCTAGTAGTGTCCATCCCTAGATGCATCATCCATGCTAGTTTGGTCCAGGTAGGTCTTATAGTTACTTGGGAATGAAAATGTAGGTCAAATCCAGCATCAGAAGCAAGTCTTGTAGTGTCCATCCCTAGATGCATCATCCATGTAAGTTTGGTCCTGGTAGGGCTTATAGTTCCTTTGGTATGTACCTGCTCCAAAAACTTGATCCTGGTCACTCATCTGGAAAATGTAGGTCAGATCCAGCATCCAAAGCAAGTCTGGTAGTGTCCATCCCTAGATGCATCATCCATGCAAGTTTGGTCCGGGTAGTGCTTATAGTTCCTTGTGAATGGACCTGCTCCAAAAACTTTAACCTGGTTACTCATCTTGGGAATTGACCTGCTCCAAAAACTTTAACCTGGTCATTCATCTGGAAAATGTAATTCAGATCCAGCATCTGAAGCAAGTCTTGTAGTGTCCATCCCTAGATGCATCATCCATGCAAGTTTGGTCTGGGTAGGGCTTATAGTTACTTGGGTATGGACCTGCACCAAAAACTTTAACCTGGTCACTCATCTAAAAAATGTAGGTCAGATCCAGCATCCGAAGCCAGTCTGGTAGTGTACATCTCTAGATGCACCATCCATGCAAGTTTGGTTCAGGTAGGGCTTATAGTTACTTTGGGAATGGACTTGCTCCTAAAACTTTAACCTGGGACGCCGACGCTAATGCCGATGCCAACGCCGGGGGTATAGCATTAGCTCATCTCGACTTCGTCGAGGTGAGCTAAAAATCAATTAATTTCAGTAAGGAATACACTTGCAGTGAATACTTTTTTTACATTGAAGTCCTATGTTGTCACCAAGATGTGGAAATTAGTGGAATATACATATACCCATTGGATATATGGGTAGGGAACCATGGATATGGAATTATGAGTATGACTAACCATGGATATTATATGAATACTGAACAATGGATATTACAAAGTTAATTTGACTGCCCTATAGAGATTTGATTTAACAGTGCCATACTAGTATTATATCACTATAATCCAAGAGAGAATAATGAAATAAAAGATACGAATGAGGATGAAGAGGACTAGATTAGAACCATCGTCGCAAACCACGGGTTTTGAGTCCACAAGCTTCCTGATGAAAGAAAGAATCGATGTGAATCACCCCTGGATTACCAACGATGGATTAGAACTAAAGTATTCTGGCTGAAATGAAGACAACCCCTGCTTTGAACTTTGACTGGTGATCACTAAAACTCTTATTTGAGAAACACATATTACATCTGCACATTATTTTTAAAATTCACAAAAAATCTTGCAAAGTTTCGTTTTCTAACACGCAGATTTAAATATTTAGTCTAGCAAAATACATATGCATGTATGGAGCATTATATTCAAATGCAATTTAAACAGCTTTTGAGCTCCTGTAATCAACTGTTAAAGCTAACATCAAAATGAGATAAGATTGATATTCAACAGTGTGGAAAACACAGTCTCTTTCTCCATCACACATTGTATTCTGGTACATAAATAAAAAAAACAAGTTTCTTTGAAACTTACAAAGGGCCTTAGATTTCAAGTAATATTTTTACTTAATATTTTATATTTCTGCTAAATTCTGCACTTGTTTTATTCATATAAATGTACATCTAATTGAAATCCTAAATGCAAGAACAAAATCTATGAATACATGTACATGTATTATAAACTTTGGTTAAAACAAATCCTATATTTCAGAAATTAAGCATTTTACATTTATTAAATTATGTCCTCCTAAATGCGATATTAAAAGTATAACAATTAAGATCCACTTGGTATGTTTAGATATACAGAATAGTCAGAATTGAAGAAAAATTCTTTGTTTTAAAAAAAAAAACAAAAAAAAAAACATCTTGGTCCCTGGGCTGAAACAAACTCAGCAAAATCCCCCCTCCCTTCTGGTATATCTGTAAAGCTAATTTATCTTATAACCACTTTTAGGGCTCATAAAAACAAATAACAAAAAAATTCAAAGACATATATCAGAACAAATTCAGCACCATGCTATTCTCACATACATATATACATGTATCTGTATTCTCTATCTAGCACTCTCAAAAAAATTTGATTCTCTCGACATTTTAATACTTGGCAGTATACATATAAAATGGTTTGAAATGTTTTACAGATTATCAAATTCTTATAACAACCTTTATTTACTTGCATGTAATGAGACAAGAATTACACATTTCTAAAAAAAAAACACCAAACACTTACCATTTATTAAATTAGATTTACAACCATTTCTCAAAAATCACAGATTTTGTAATACAATGCAGTCTTGTTTGTCTTTAGAAGATAGATTACATGTAAATAAATTATTAATGCATCAAAATCTGCTATACAAATGCATCAATTTATTTACTGTAAATATACTTTTTCCATATAGGATCATAATTCCATGAAATTACAATATCTTTTGAATTTGTAAAAAGAAAATAAAGCAGATTTGTTTGATTGTATTACACATCCCTATAATGCATTTTAAGTATGACGTGACAAAGTTCCAGAGAAAATCATACATAGTGTTAGTAATAAATTCCCATGTGGAATTAAATAAAAAACATCTGCAGTTCTAAATTGAACAAATCACATGCCCATTTTATAGTAAAATTATTGAATATATATATTAAATGGTGCTAGCTTTTTTTTTTCTCTAGGAAATAAACACACAAGTACACAATCTTCTACTTTCACCACAATCCATGTACAACCTTGATATTATCTACAGTGTATCATATTTGCTTTAAAAAATGTATAAATATCAATTAAACCTGTTTCATACTCATTTTATATCATACTATTATATTTTCACATACTCTCTGAATTACTCTGAACCTGTTTATGGACAAGAACACTTTTTGCCATGATTATCTAAGAAGTACTTTTATCTATAGTTATAACTAAAGGTTATAACCTTTAACCTTCCTCATCATGGCCGCTTACACATTCATGTATAAATATATACATGTAGGTCATTTACAAAAGCCTAATCAGGGCAACAGAGTCACATAAATCACTTACAAAGGCCTAATCAGGGCCACAGAGCATTTAAACAACCAATCATCACAGACTATTCAGTAGACCCAGCTGACTGGCACCCACTGGGGTGTGGTACTGACTTGATCAATCGCATGTTCCAATTTCCTTATGGTTTCATCTATGTCATTGTTCACAATTTTCAAGTCAAAATAATGTCCATAGGCTTTTTCAAGAAGTTCACTTTCTGTAGCTAATCTCTCCAAGCTAATGTCCTGTAAAATGAGGAAGATAAAAAAAAGAAAGTATAAAATTAATGCAATGTACATGTACTTCTACAACCTTTGGCCTCTACATATAATTCTTATACATAGAAATAGTCAATGTTACTTAGCAGCTGGTACACTTAATTCTCATGACAAGTGATCTATTTGTTACATTATAAACCATAAGTTTATCTCTGTCCAATGATGTTTTAGATTTATTTACTGGTATCACTTTCTTAATAAAGTAAAACACGCTAATAAATAACAAAGTTCTAAGGATAGAATAATTTGCTTCGTTATGATATTTTCGTTGTGGTTCAAAATGACATGTCTTCACTAAATTGGTACTCTGTACAACATATACTTGAAAATATAGCTTTATTCCTACCCTTATATCCCTGAAAGGCTTAAATGTTTATCTGATTCATTGTAGAAATATATATTAAATGGAACAGCAAGTTCTCATATAATATTTTTGTGCAACATAAAAATGAGGGGTTTGTTTCATTTACAATTCTAATATACAACAGTGTAAATTAAGATATATGAAAGCAACAACACTTTTAAACTTATCTGTTTGTATTCTAAGTAAAATATAAATCCAACTATCAAAAATTGATAAATTGATTAAAAACAAAAGGTATGAGATTTGAAAAATTTAGGTGGTAATGGTATTATAGACATGCAGGTACAGATGACTACATGATTAAACAGACAAAAAATTTGTGTCGAAATAAAGAAATTTTAAAAAGAATATTTGATTACTACTCTGGTATAATTTGAAATGATATCTCAGAAATAACACAATTTACTATATATGTTATTTTTTTAATACTATACTAGTGATAAACACTGTTATCTTTGCTTCCCTTACATTCCCACAGTCTTACTAGTAATATGAAACACTCTCTAATTTTCATCACTTACATTCATATCCTTAGTTTTTCTGAGAAGGTGATCGTTGAAGCATGGAGCTGCTATAAATACTACATAAGGTGCGTAATCAGCGGTGCGTAAAACTTTCAGTGCCTGAAAATTAAATAAACAGAAAAAAAATTGCCATGCAATATAAAAAACCAAATATATACATCTATAGTGCCACTGAAAATTAAAATAAAATATGGGTTTGATGGTTGAGTGAACTTGTTTTGATTTAAAATAAATACAAAATCATTCTTAGCTTACAAAGGTTAATTTTGAAAATAAATTGAAAATTCCCATCAGATATTAAAATTGTGCCTTAATTTTCTCAAAAGTGTTTTTTTAAAGAAACTCGATCAGTAGACATTCTTATTTGAACAGAGTAAAATAAATATCCACAATCATCAAAATTTTTACAATTCTAAACAGTTAAAAAAAGTTCCCTCAACCATTACATGGGAGATAAAAAAAAAAAAGCCTGACAACACAGATATAGAGGTCCATGATACCTCCTGCATGGTGGCTATAGTCGGTGCTGCAATGAACACTATATAAGGGGCATATTCCCCCGTCCGCAGCACACGAATCGCCTGTAACACACGAGCTTTGTTATTCACTTATCATAAAAATCTAGCATATAGAACCTTATCTATTGTCTTTTTTTTTAAGTTAAAATTTTCATAGCATTTTTTTGTAACATGCCATAAAAAGGTACCCATCTTAAATACACTTTGGTAAAAAATTTTTGCAGTGGTTAAGAGATAACTTTGAAATTTAAAGCGGCATTTTATTTCCAAATAATATTAGCCATATAGTTATAATATATCCATGTTACACAATTTGCACAAAAACCCAAAATATGTGTCGTGATAAAGGTAAAATAGACAGGTAAAACAAAATTTTCTTTTGCCTATAAAAAGATGTACCTGTGAAAGTTCAACATCAGAATTGCAATCAGTGGTATGAGAGGAGTTGCGGCGAATGGTCTCTAATTTTGTTCCATACATGGCGTCCTCATGGGTTCCATACTCTAAATACTCGTTAGCAGCAATGTCTTTCATCATTTGATCATGGCCAACAAAATAGTAATTTTTTCCATTCATTTCACCTTCTCGGGGTGCTCTTGTGGTATCTGAAACAAAAAGATATTAATGAAATGTATTCAGATACACAAATGAAATCATTCATTTCTGATTTTGGATAACATAGACAAATCAACATGACATGTTTGTGAAATATGATTGCCCTCCACATAGAAAACTGAAAATATATTTGACCTTGAGCAACACAAATGACCTTGGGTAGAGGTCTGGACATGTCACTTCAAAAGTTATGACCTACGCTTAAGCATATACATAGACATACAGAGAGATAATATTCTCCTTGAGAATATTCTCTTCTGGGGATATAAAAAATTATGAACATTGCATATTTTTTTTCCAAATAATCATTGTCTGTAAAGAGATTAGTCTTCATCAGATATGGCTGGAGTATGTACTCTAAACTACATACATTACAAATGGTTTGAAGTATCATCAGTGTGTAAATGTGAGAGGAAGAAAGACCCCATCCTTATCCTTCACTACAGTAGATAACAATACAAGAATAAGGAAGCATTTCCCCCTTTTTGTTTATAAATTTTCCTTTTACTTACGTGGAATGGGGTAAGCAAATCGATCAGGATGACTTGTTATCAGGGTATTTTTGATGTGTCTTCTACCAACCCCATGAGCACCTGTGAATTTATTAATTAACACATTAACACTTGATTAAGTTATACATATTTCATGTTCTACCTACAGAAAATGGTATTGTAAACCAATTAATTGAATATGAACACTGATTAATGACACCCTTAGACTATATATATTATACCTAATAATACTAATGTTTTCCTCATGAATGCTGGTAGACAGACCACTTCCTCGTAGGTATTGAGATCTAACTGGTCAAATATTGAGTTGTGTTTGGCCAGGTATTTATCCTTCTTCTTCCTTCCAAACCAGGAACAATGTGCTTAAAAAAAGTCAAAATCATTAGCATCTACAATACACAAGTCAGAGTGAGAAAAACTTGGTCAAGTAAAAGTGTGAATTTTTTTTTAAAAGTCTTTCTCCAAGAATTTAGCATTAACTGTGAAATCAAGATAATAAAATCTGTGTAAAAATTTAAACTAGAACTGTCCAAACGGGACAAAATACCCCCGCTGGGTTTTTCAGAAGTAAGTTTTTCCATAATAAAGATATGTATCAAAAACAAATTATGAAATTTTTCTTCCAGTGACCTTGAACTTCCCCAAATGACCTTGGGTCAAGGTCATGACACACCCTTGGGTCATGGGCAATCTTTGTGTGAAATGAGAACCTACCAAGTTTATCCAGAAGAAAGATATGGACCGGAGCACGAAGCAAGCCTGATATTTTTCTTCCAGTGACCTTGAACTTCCCCAAATGACCTTGGGTCAAGGTCATGGCACACCCTTGGGTCATGGACAATCTTTGTGTAAAATAAAAATCTACTAAGTTTATCCAGAAGAAAGATATGGACAGGACAGGAATTATGAAAATTTTCTTCCAGTGACCTTGAACTTTCCCAAATGACCTTGGGTCAAGGTCATGACACATCCTTGGGTCATGGGCAATCTTTGTGTGAAATGAGAACCTACCAGGTTTATTCATAAAAGATATGTATCAAACATGATTTTTGAAAATTTTCTTCCAGTGACCTTGAACTTTCCCAAATGACCTTGGGTCAATGTCATGACACACCCTTGGGTCATGGGCAATCTTTGTGTGAAATGAGAACCTACCAAGTTTATCAATAAGAAAGATATGGACCGGATACGAATTATGAAATTTTTCTTCCAGTGACCTTGAACTTCCCTAAATGACCTTGAGTCAAGGTCATGACACACCCTTAGGTCATGAGCAATCTTAGTGTGGAGTAGTAGATTCTAATGTCCCTCTGTAAGAAAGATATGGACCGGACACGATTGCACAGACAGACAGACGGACGGACGTATAGACGGACAGACAGCTAGGCGGACAGACGGACAGACGGACAAGTTGATTCCTATATACCCCCCCAAACTTCGTTTGCGGGGGGTATAATAAACAATATGCAAAGAAAGAAAGTGAATGGACAGTATACCTCCTCTATGATTCAAAGGACATGCTACAAATAACATTGAAAGACAAGTACCTGCGTGTTCGTGTCTGGCTTTTTCCCTCGATGACATTGACGTTCTCCACTCCTGAAGCTCTGGGGAGGGGATGAGACCTGCTGGGGTGGTAGGGGCCACGCCCCATAACTTAGCCTGCCACCAGTTAGAGTCCTCCTTGTTAATGATCTACAAATAAGTACTCTGTATGTTAACTGAAACATTATACAGATACATTTATATTGTTATTTTACACTAATTACAGCTAAGGTTTCTTCAAATTGTAAAGTGAGTTTTATGAAATATTGGAAGGACTTTAATATAAACTTTTCTTTCTTCAAACAATGTTGTACTCACTCTTAAAACATCCCCAACTCTGAAAGACACTCCAGCCTGAGGGCAAGGAATCATATCATCATCCTCAGGATTATAATCAAACAGGGCCCTCACAAAGATCTACAACACATATGTTACATTATCAGATATCTGTAGTTCTAGACATGTCAGCTACACTTTACTTATGATAATTAGAAAATATGAAGCTCATTTCTGATCATGTAGGTCTAAAACATGGTTCTCTAATACACAACTTGATACAACTTGTAACAAAGCTCAACTGCATATTTTATCTCCATACAAACAAGCATATGCAATAAAACAACAAATTTCATAGAAATAAATCAAGCTACGACCTTGATTAAACCTGGTTTACCTATACTTTCTTATTTTTCGAGAAGAAAAGGAATAAAAATAATATATACCTAAACCTAACTAATAACACTGTAATACAATAAGAAGAAACACTAAGTATCAATTTCAGACTAAGAATGTACATAACACAAAGTTCTCTACATTATTTATTGCCTATGAATTGATCCCAGTTTTCCTATTTCATACCTCTTTATGTGTTCCATTTTCATTTCGTTCCTTATGCACGTTGCCTGATGGTTGGGGAACAATTTTGAAGGTGACATTACCACTTAATGATTTCTGTGAAAAGATAATAAAAGTTGACTTAATGGAACCTTTAGTTGCACAAAGTTATTGCCAAGACGCCGCTTTATGTCTTTTAGGGGACACTTTTCTAGTGTCTCTCGTCTGCCAATTACAGAAAATCAATATGTCTTCAGGAAAAAATAGAATATTGTATTTGTCTAAGTATCAAATCTGTCCTGAAAAAATGCTTCTTGTAACAGCCATTAAGATATTGATATACAAGCTATAGGCATTTCATATCACCTATATGCTATCATAGATAAATCAGTAAGCTCATTTGCTACATTCATAAAGGTTTGAATTCATTAGTTAATTAGCTAGAAAAATTAATGTTGTACATATTTTAGCAACCTCAGTTGATACAACTTGTAACAAGGTTGCAAACACTGTTGTTATATGATGAATTAGCAACCCCAGTAGCAAAAAACTTGTCTAAAACACTAATGACAAGCTAATTCAGAGAATTCGTGTCCCCCGCTTAGGGAAAAAGTCGGCTCCCCCTGACTGAATTTGTAGAATTATTAAATGTATACATGTATACTGAAGCAAATAAAATACATGTATGTCAATATGCATATAAAGATTTGATTGCTTATTCTTTATTATGTGTATAGAAGATTTTTTTATATGGAATGTTTATCACACTGTAATGATGATTTTATAACCTCATAAATTTTTCATTTCACATGCTGAATACTATCATTTAGTCAAAAAAAAAAAAAGAAGTAATATTACCTAAAAAAAAAAAAAAGGAATACAATAAGATTCGATCCCGGGACCTCTCACATTTGAAGCGAGAGACATAACCACTCGACCACGGAATCGCTTTACGCGCAGTGAAGTATATGCAGAATTGAAGTCACATACATGTATATATTCATGTTTTCATGTTCGGTATTCTCAAAATTTTACACAATCCATGGTGTTTGATTTATTTAGCCTTTATTAAACAGTTCTAATAGATGTAATAAGAACATATTTGTCCGCCGAGAACCTGTTTTATACGCAATAACTCTCCTCATGCCCCTGCGCTAAAAATAGCGACATGTAATACTATAAATACTAATAAAACAAAAGGGGCGGGGTACTTTGAGAGGGGCGAGAGACGTCCTAGGAGTTTTGGTATAAAATTACATTGCATAAGCTCAAAATCTTCTTGAAATATCATACATAAATGATAGTTTTGCATACAGACAGAATGTATAAATTTACGACCTTGAACTTTGACCTTTTACCTCAAAATCAATAGGGGTCTTCATTAGGCCACAGGGAGTTGTTATGTAAAATTTCATTGCAATAGCTCAAATGGTTCTAGAGATATCGTGTGGAAACGAATGTGTTTTAACAGACAGAATTTGCTTATTTATGACCTTGACCTTTGACCTTTTGACCTCAAAATCAATAGGGATCTTCTTTAGTCCATAGGGAGTTGCTATGCTAAATTTCATTGCAAAAGCTAGACAAAGGGTTCTAGATATCGTGATGAGGTAGCAAGCGTTACAGACAGACAAAAGACGGACGGACGGAGCAAGCTCAGTTGTTATAGATACCCAAATTAATAGCCCCACTTTTCAAGCGGGGGACAAAAAGTAAGCAGGTTCCCCTGTCTAAGGCACTAATGATGAATTGGCTCAGATGTTATAGATACCAGTGATGAGAAATGAGCTCAGTTGTTATAGATACCAGAGAGGAACTAGCAAGCTTAGTTGTTATAGATACCAGCAATGAGGTAGCAAGCTCAGTTGTTATAGATACCAGCGATGAGGTAGCAAGCTCAGTTGTTATAGATACCAGTGATGTGGTAGCAAGCTCAGTTGTTATAGATACCAGTGATGAGGTTGCAAGCACAGTTATTATAGATACCAGTGATGATGTGAAAGCTTAGTTGCTTAAATTTCAATGATTAGAAAACAAGCTCAGTTGCTACAGATGCTGTGATGTGGTAGCAAGTTCAGTTGTTTAAACATTAATGATTAGACAACAAGCTCTGTTGCCCAATATATAGAGAAAGCTTCATTATTACAGATACCAATGATGCTAGCCAGATTATTTAGAGACACCAATGATGAGTTAGCAAGCTCATTAGTCTCAGACACCAATGATGAATGAGTGAGCTCAGGCATAGTGTTAAAGACCCTAACAGTAAAATAACAACCTTAGTTGCTATGGAGAGAAATAAAGATTTCGCATAAAAGTTGTTAAGGACATCAAAGATGAAATTACAAAGATACAATGTATTTTTTGATGCGGGTAAACTAATGCTAGGTTAATACTTTATAATTGACATAGGTATATTTACCAGCATTTTCTGCAGATTTTCCACTGTCTGATTAACGACACTGACTTCGTTTATTTCTCTAATTTCATCTCCCACATGAAGGGTTCCTGTACAAATAAAAAAAAATGTCCATGAATTGATGAGACTGAAATATTTGACAGCATTAATGGTTCCCCCTTAACATAAACAGGATACTATAGTGAAAAACTGAATTCATTTCCATCTGACTCGACATAACAGGCTCACTTTAAGCATATTAATCTAGACTTTCCATGAATAAAAATACACTAAAGATTCATTTGGGATATTTTTTGGGGGGGCAAACACAGCTCATATTAAATCCCTTGTCAATTTATCAAATTCCAAAGTCCTTTTCTGTGCTTGAATACAATATCATATTTCATGTCCATATGTCTTCTTGGACAATTATGAATTATGAAAAAGCTGCAAACAAATAGTATTTTTTACAATGACATAATGTATTGACACTAAATTAATGAAGCAATTTTTTATTATTTGTCTAACTGAGTCACTATTTGCCAAGATAATTTTTCTGGTAAAAAACAAGAGCCTACTTAGCATCCTAAAATTTTGATCAATTACTAGTTTTGATATAAATTAATTGAAATTTTTTTAACTCATTTTTTTTTAAATTGTAGCAATTTAAAATGAAGAAGATGTTGCTGAGGTGATGTCATACTGAACCCTGTCCTGTATACGGGAAAAAATTTCCTTTTGTTTTGTTTAACCCCTTTTGCCCTTGACACAAGAGGGGGGTTACATGTATAAGACGGGGCGAATTAAAAGAAAAAAGTACAATTTCTTAAACAGAACCATGAGTGGGCAAATTTACCCAAAGGCCCCAGGTTCAAGTCCCACTGTGGGAACTTAATGTTGTGTCCTTAAACAAGGCACTAAGTATGTATTGCCTCAATTCACCCAGCTACAATGGGTTCTGGTTTAGGCTGGGAATAACCTGCCAAGGACTAATATCTCATCCTGAAGGAGTTAATGACTTATCCACTCAGAGCCCAGAAACTGGGTACAATCACTGGCCTTATTAGCCTCAGGGCTCTTTGAAGAATTAACTTTTTAAATTTTCAATGCAGTCAAAATAGTGTAAATTGCTCAATGTTCTGTCACCAGACTGAACATAAAATAAATCATATAATTCAAAAGTATCCAAGTACATGTAATTATATGTATTTCTTTACAACATTTAGTTTCACTTTTATTTTTTCTCAGTAGATATTCTTTTAATAAAAAATACAATACAAGATGTACTAAATCAATTTGATGGAATTGATGCAAATAATAAATTTCTACTGCTGTATGACCATACCTTGTCGATGGATCATTCCTCCATGCATTATCCGAGCAACCTTACACTGACCAACTTCATTCACCCTTAGAGTAATTCCCTAATTTTAAAAATAAGACCATTATCTCATATACTACATGCAGAAAATCTCCTCAACCTGAGGAAAACAAGGGGTAAAAATTTTTACACATGCAAAACTGTAGTAGCAAAGACTGTAAAGTGTATGCACACTTCAGATCGAATGCATGTTCATTAACAAAGTTAAAAAGAATTTACATTTTTAAAACCTTTATTCATTTCAAAACAATCAGTAAAGAAATTTTCTTGTTTGAAAAAAAATCTTACCATGGGCTCATCCTTGTTTTTCTGGAATTGGACGAGTCGTACACGATTGATTTTACACCCAGGATCCATCTCGACTTCTGGACTAGGGGGCTGTGAGGAATCACCATTCAGGCTCGAAAACGTCTGGATAGGAGGGGGCGTGACACGAACAGCATCCTCTCCATAAACCTCATGAGCTACCACATCGTGTGCTTGAAGTAAGGCCTGTAGAGAACAAATTACTCAAATAAAATACCCACCACATGTGTTACAGATGGTAATAAGAGGACTTCAGATTTGATAATTACCAAATTTCACCATCATTGTTAGTAGCTATTTTCATAATTATCCATTTAAGTGAAAAATTGTGACAATCCAAACAATTATGGATTGAAACTGTCATAAAATCCTACATACCGGGTATTTTCATTGAATGCAAACATTTCCTCATTGATTTTGGGAGGGAAATGAGCTAATCAACATATGTGAATAAGACTAAAAATTAAAAGCATTGAAATCCCCATCTGACTCATGTAAGAAAGCAATTTGTTGATGTGACAGAAACAAATGTATTGAATCACAATAACTATTGACAGCTGTTTCAAATAGTGTTCTCCACAGCTTTGATGTTTTTGTTCTCCACATGGCAACATGGATCGAATGCATTTCAGATGCTAATATCAATCAAATTCAAAATACTTCTGCTTCATCTTTGAATAGGTCAATAACAATTTTTTGTACTGACATGTAAGAAACTTATTTTCTGGTATAAAAGTACTGAATAACTGAAACTTTTTCTCATAAAAAAAACTTTTGAAAGATAAAATCAATCTGCTGTTCAAAAAATTGTTTCTTATAAATGTTATGCATACTTTGTAAATATCTGAATGTTTTCTTAAATGTAACAGTGGTAGCTTAGTAATGAAAATTGAAGCAGCCTACATGCTCATTTTTAGTCCATTAATGACATGAAATTTTCATCAACTCAAATAATCATGCAGCGTTATTTTTAATCTTTGATCTTACATATCTAAATGCCATTATCTGTAAATGGTTGAATTTTTGGCTTTACTGCAATGATTGATCTTGTTCTTTTTTTTTTCTCCACATGCTTTTATCATAAATATTGGTTCTACTGTATTAAAGCACAATTGCAAAGCTGTCCTATAATTTTTGTTCCATTACTCAGCTGACAGGAAAAAAAAAAGTAGGATTTTGGAATTGTCTCATTTTAAAATAATCCAGCAAATCAAAAGTTGGCAATAATTGGTAAAAGTCAAATCTAATCCTCCTTGGAATACTTTAAAAGTGTGGTTGAAAGTGGATTTAAGTGTTTCTGAGGTTAAATGCAGCTTAAGGTGGATTCAAATGGTTCTGGATTTAAGTGTGGTTGACACTAGATTTAAGTGGTTCTGGATTTAAGTGTGGTTGAAAGTAGATTAAGTGGTTCTGGAGTAAAGTCTGGTTGAAAGTAGATTTAAATGGTTCTGGAGTTAAGTGTGGTTGGAAATGGATTTCAGTGGTTCTTCAGTTGAATGTGTAGAAATTGGGTTCAATTTGGTCCTGGCTTTAAATGTTGTTTAATAGTGCATTTAAGTGGATCTGAGTTAAGTGTAGTTGAAAGTAGATTTAAGGGTTTTGAAATAAAATGTGGTTGAAAAAGGATTAAAGTTGTTCTGAGGTAAAGTGTGGTAGTAAGTTAATTTCAGTGGTCCTGGAGTTGAGTGTGGTTGGAAGAAAATTCAAGTGGTTCTAGAGTTAAGAGTGGTTGTAAATTGATTTAAGGGTTCTGAAGTAAAATGTGGTTAAAAAATTATAAAAGTGGTTCTGAAGTTAAGTGCGGTTGGAAATGGATTAAAGTGGTACTGGACTCAAGTGTGGTTAAAAGTGTATTTAAATAAGTGGTTGTGGAGTAAATTGTGGTTGAAAGTGTATTTAAGTGGTTTTGGAGTTGAGGGTGGTTGGAAATTGATTCAAGTGGCTCTGGAGTTAAGGGTGGTTGAAACTTTATTGAAGTGGTACTAGAATTAAATGTGATAATTAATAAAAATGTTGGTTAAAGTGATTGTGATTCTGGAGTTAAATATGGTTTAAAAGTATATAAAAGTGGTTTAAGTTGTGTGGTTGAATATGTAATTAACTGGTAAACTGAAGATAAATGTTGCTGAACACTGATGAAAATGGTTCTGCAGTTAAATGTTACTGGAAGTAGTCTCATTTAAAATGTTTTGGAGTAAAGTGTGAATGAAAGTACATGTAGGTTTAAGTGATTTTTGAGTTAAATTTGGTTGGAAATGGATTAAAGTGGTTCTGAAGTTAAGTATAGTTGGAAGTAGGTTCAAGTGGTTCTGAAGTTAGGCCAGATAGAATTAATCTTTAGATTCTCTTCCTAATTTGCTAAAATATTGGGGCGGGTGGGCGGATTTTATTTTTTATTTTTTATAATTGTTAAATTGGAAGTATCAACAAAACATGGATTAAATGTAAACATTTTTTGTTATGTTAATGCCAATATGAATAGATTTTATTCCTTTCATATTCTTTTAAATATTTAAAGAAGTTGTTGCTTTAAAAAATTAAATATTTATTGTTAATTAAGAAATTATCAAGTACACAAATACGGCACACGCAACAAAATGGGGTGGGTATACCGATAAATTGTGTATGCAGTGTCATGACTTCCTCAAATACCTTTTAGTTTTACCAACCTATGTTTTCTGTAAAATATCACATTTGGTTGGAAAATAGGCCTGAACAGTTTTAAAATTTAACATTTTCTTAGCATTCTTTAAAGTGTGCCTACGAAATGTTTTATTTTTTTTTTTTCAAAGAAAAATCACACACAGTTGGAATTCGTTTAAAACTTGAAAGGTGTTATTTTCCCTGTCTATTTTTCCTGATTAAAATCTCTCTAATTTGCTCAAGCCATTAACATGATTAATACTATCTAGATGTGTTTATGCTATTTTTTCTTCTCTGCCTTTTTTACACTGACAATTTATCTTTTCATTACATATTTAAACTGCTTTTATTGCCGATTTTTCACCATTCTTCACATGGCTCTTTTGCTATACTCGTAAATAGCGACATGCGACTTTTAATACAGGCGGGAGATAACTCTTAAACTTTGACCAAAATTCTTGCTGAATAAAAATACATGGAAAATACTTTTAACACCCAAAAATCGAAATAAAAAATACCGGGGCAGACATTTTGAGAGGGGCGGGCGGGGAAAATTCTAGAAGATTAATTTTATCTGGCCTTAAGTGTGGTAGGAAATGGATTGAAGTAGTTCTGCATGAAGATAAGTGTAATTGAAAGTAGAATTAAGGGTTAAAAGTTAAATAGTTGAAAAGGATTAAAAAATTAATGTTTCTGGAGTTAAGTGTGATTAAAAGTGTATTTCAGGTTTCTAAATGATTCTGGAGTTTAGGTTGCTTGAGATTATAATTAAGTGGTACTGGAATTAAATGTGATTAAAAGTTGGTTAAAGTGATTTTGATTCTGCAAGGAGTTAAATGTGGTTTAAATATGCTTTTAATAATAATAATAATAATAATAAATACTTTATTTAAAGAAGGTAACCTGGTTAGTGCATGCACTATTCTTCCCCAGGGCCTTCTATATATATCAAATACAAAAAATAATACAGAATACAATTCATCATATATAATAGTAATATGTTTAAGGAATTACAATCATACAATTATGAATATAATGTCCATGTATAGTTTTAACAATCATAATACAATATACAATATCGAAACCTTATTGTCCTCAAAAAATTGTGCAACAGCTGATGATGTAATTTTCTATATTGCTTAAATGTTCGTAGATGCTAGAGAATCTAATGTGTTGGGGAAGTTTATTCCATAGATGTACACTTGAATACTGAAAAGAGGTCTTGAATAAGTTTGTACCAAATTTCGGCAATGTTAGATCATAATTATTTCAAGATCGTAATTATAAGAAGTAGAAGAATGAAATTCAAATAAATTACAAAGATATTGGGGAGTCGTTCACATTGAAAATTTTGTATAATAATATGTATTTGTATAGATCAACTAGCTCATAAACTGTTAACCATCCAAGTTTTCAAACAGTGGTTTGGAAGAAGAATCTGGACTTGCGCAATTCAAGAATAATCCTTGCTGCTCTTTTCTGTAATTTAAATAGTCTGTCCATGTCCTGCTTTATTACCCAAATAGTCAAACAATAGTTAATAGATGGTAAAATATAAGCATTGTAATATAGTTTTCTGGTATGTAGAGGGAGAAATTTCTTAATCCTTGAAGAGTAAATAACTTATAATTTATCGTTTTACAAACCGAGTCAATATGATTTGCATACTGTAACTTATCATCAATATGTACACCAAGAATTTTTTCAGTTTCAACCATTTCAATTGTTTTGTCTGAGGCATAAAGTTGTAAATTTGGATTATCTAATTTTGATTTTCTTTGCTGTGTTCCCATTAACATACATTTTGTTTTATCTACATTTAAAACCATTTGATTTTGAGCACACCATTTCTCAATCTCACAAAGATCTGAATTTAGTGTATTTTCTAAACATCTTGTATTATTATTATTAGAATACAGAGTTACATCATCACCAAACATATCAATATTTGAATTGTTTACATGTAATGGAAGGTCATTTATGTACAATAAAAATAAAAGTGGGCCCAAAATTTTAAGTGGTTCATGATGGAGATGCAATTGGAAGTTGTAATTTTGTAATTATTGAATTAAATAAGAAAATCTTGAGCTTGTTCCCAAAGCCAAACAGATATTACAGATACTTTGAGGAATTTAATAAAATTCCAGAAGTCCATATTCATTATATACATTTATAACTTCACAGGGAATTCTGAACTCTTCTCTTAATTTGGGACATTGTTTCATTTGTATCTTTAAATGACATTAGAAGCACTTTTAATGGAAACTGGCTTTGACAAGTTGCTCCTGAAAGCTAGGTTTTATTACAGTCAATGCTAGGGAGAAGCAAAGTAGATTACTTGAAGCCAAAAGTTGATTTTTTTGGTCTCAGAAAAGCAGAATAATTGAGCCAGCATTTACTGCTGTTGTAGCCATTAATAAAAAATGTTCTCTCGATACAAATCAGTTATCTGTAACGATCTGAGCATAGGAAATGGGGATGATACTTTTTTCTTTCGGAAACATCTTCAATGTAATAGAAAGACAGTCAAAGACACACTTATTGTAGATCCATTAGCAATCATGCAGATTTCTTGCTGACGAAACACGTAGTCAATAAACTTTCTAGGGTATAAAAGGAAAATTTCTGTTAAACCTTTCTTATAAATTAAGTTATTGACGTATTATGCTACTGTTTGTCAAATAATTACAAATAAGAAAACAAGGAAATAGGTCAATGCTGTATAACATATATGTATAAAGTAAGTAGAAAATCTATTATATCATTGGATAAAACACTTGCATTTGTAAATCAGCACAAAACTACCAGAGAAATTATAGCAAACAACAGAGGAAATGTTATTAATACCAGCATCTGTATAGAACTAACATCTGTTCACATTATTTTTTTTAATTTGACAGTAGCTAATTTTTAATTGGACAAGTATTTTACTCCGTTATTTAATAAAAACTCTAAATTGCACACTGTACATAGATTCAGTTGATTATAAGATCATTACAATGTCCATGTAATTACGTCACATTTTATACAGTGCAATACCACTGCAAAAAAGCATTTGTTGGCCTTAATTATACTTTTGTTCTAGCTATTAAATGCTCTTTAATTCACTCAGGATGTTAGCATATACACTTATATTAAATGCTTCTTATTCCCTTGTACATAAGAAATGCATCAATGTTAATTGTTTTAATTTTAGAAACACATCTCAGCTCTGAAATATGCAGAAAAATTATGTTAACCTAAGGTCAACTAAATGATGCAAGAAAATACAAGAGACACAAAACAATTTTCCTAGCATATCCCTATAATAAACAAATATAACAAATTTAAAAACATACTCGACATTTAAACAATTTCCTTACCTTGTGGGCTATGAAAACTCCAGCGTAAACCAGCGAAATATCTAAATGGCCTTCTAAATCAATAAAAGTCCTCCCTCTTTATCTCTGATGAACTCAATATCAACAAAGGTTTCACTTTCCTCTTCCCTTATATTATCTATGGATTGGGGGGCAAAATATAACCAACCTGACAGAAGAACCTGCATACTAATCACTGACTTCCAACCATACCCACATGAGCACTGCTTATAATGGAAGAAGAAAAAATAACCTGGAGTTCTCTCTATATGTGATAACAATTAACAAGAGGGAGGGAGAGATGACTGTTTCAGCAGGCTTGTTTTTTTTCTCGGAGTCATGTCTGCCTGGGCCATAAAACCATTATCAATGGGAAAATAATCATATTTATGTGCAATCAAGCTGGATACTGTTCTATTGGAATCACAACATTTCCAGCAACAGGCATTTCTGTGATTGGTTAAATTCTTCTGGAGAGGGAGAGGAATTAGACTTGCATAAAGGCTGAAACTCAATTTTAATTGATTGGACCTGCGATAGTCTCGTTCAACCAGACGCTCGGCTGTCTCCGTGAACTCCGACCAGCAGAGAGTCTGGTAAAGAATCACGTAAGCGTTTGTAACCGTCAGAGGGCGCTATCTTGTTTTCATTTTAAAATTCCTTTTTGTAAGCAAACGTTATATACGGTAAATGAATTAGACTTGCATAATAGTAATAAAACACAACCTATAAGCATTAGAAAATTTCCTATCTAACATCTTTAACTTTTAGACATATGATTTTTACATCATTAAGTTAATTTATCATGTATTTTAATTGAGGTGTGGACCTCAAAAACTTTAACAGAATTTCGGAGCCTCGTTTTGGCGTTACAAACGATAATACGTATCTTTACCAGACCCTCTGGCTGGTCGGAGATTTACGGAGACAGCCGAGTGTCTGGTTGAACGAGACTAGACCTGCAACAGAATTTGATTCCAGAGGGAAGTCTGAAGCCCTAGATATCATACACAGTCTCAGTGGAGTAGAAATCCTATGTGGATTTGGATAGTAGAAGTTATGATGGTGCCAGACCAAAATTATATTAAGGCATACCAGTCATCAATTAAAGTGGTTTAAATAAATCATATGTGTTAGGCAGAATGCAAAAGGTTTGAGAAATATGAGTGAATGTCCACTGTAACTCAGTGTAAGGTACATTTTATTGCAAAATTAAAAACAGAATAGACACCTATTCCAGAATACTTTTCAACCTTTGACTGGAGTATAGGGCAACCTTATTTATCATTCCAACAGTGAATGCTACTTTAATCAGTTAACATCAATCAATTAAAGTATAATTCATGTTAATAATAAATGATTGAAAGTATTTCAAAGTACCATAATGCTTTTAAATCATTCACAAATACCAGTATACCCTAAAATCTTGAAAATAAGACGGATTTAATAATAAGCCGTTTTTGAAAATAAGCCACCTATTTCTTGCATTAAAAATTACTCGAAAATAAGCCAGTTTTGAAAATAAGCCAGTCATGACAATGCCATTTAGGAAAGATGTTAAACGTTTGACGATTTCCGCGTCTTAAAAATTTGACTAGTGAAAAATTTGACAATTTTTTCTTTACTGTGCAAAATAAAAAATGAGTTATCTTTCTTTAATTCATTTAATCTTTACCAATTTCTGCATACGACATAGTACGAACGAGAACGAGTATCAACGACATAGTATGAACTAAGTCTGTAGCTACTAATGAACTTACGTAAACTTACTAATAAAGGGTAGTTTTCAAAATTAATTTCTTTACCAGTTAGCATGTTACGCTGACTAAAAAACTTCATTGCGGAACCACCTAACATGGTGAATTTTTTCTATGAAATTGTCAGAACAATAATTATCTCATATAGACCCGTACAAGCTAACGATGTTTTTAAAGGTGTTATAATTAAATAAGTAAATGGATAAAAGGAAGTTTTTGTTTGTAAAGCATTTAACTGTCAGGTAATACTGCCCGAGGCGAGAAACCTGCTGATCGGCAGGGCTTGGTAGTAATAACATTTCAATGTACCTTATAATTGAGTTGTTTAAATATGTGTTTTGTTTATCAAGTGATTCAATTTTTTTTCTACACGCAAGATACTGATCAAAGTATTGTTGTAATTATTTTATTTTATTATATGCTTGATTTTTTAATTTTAGATCAAACAAGTAGTCCTTATTCTATCGATTACACTTTATTCTATCGATTACACTTTATTCAATGATTGTATTGAAAATAAACCATGATTGTGCTCTCTTCTCTTACCATTTTTTTTGCATTGATAATAAGCCGCAATTTGAAAATAAGCCGGTTTTGAAAATAAGCCCCCACCTTTCTTACCAAAACTTAAAATAAGCCGCGGCTTATTTTCAAGATTTTAGGGTATATAAATTAAATTTTTTAAGAATTAATAATTTCTTCCTTACACTAGCTTTAATCTCTATTCAAGAAAAATGATCTAACATTTCCTCCTGTAACAGTGAGGAAGAAATTAAACTGAAAACTAGAATAACCCCCCCCCCCTCCAACTGCAGAAGGTGCTCTATAATATGACTTATCTGGGCATCCATAAATGCATGAACCTGCTTGATCACTACAAGCATTATTTCCATCACATTTCTTTCAAAGCAATGTACCAGGTAGCTAAAATGTAGAAAATGCCTCTGTGGACTAGACCAAGACACCTCAACTCTTAATGGTGCTCTTATTATGATTTTTTTTTACATTTCAGTGATGGACATAACATTGAAAATTGGGCCTTTGGGGAAATTGTTGGTTTAGCCCCCCTTTCAATTAAGCCCCCCTCCTTTACTTTCAATTTGCTTCCAACGCCTATGCATAAAACATATAAAAGCAATAAATTGGAAACCTTTATGCATTTATCTAAACATAGTAAAATGGAAAAAATTATTAAGGCTCTTTGGAGCCTGCTAAATCCTTCAGAACTTGGTAAAATGTGGCATTTCTTACCCATAAACTAACATAAGAAAGCTATTAGTTATTAACATCTACAAATGTCAGTTGACATTTGAGCAGTTAAACAATTATGAAAAAGCACTAAAAACCTTCACATCTGCAAGTTCATGCAGCAGAAAATAGAAAATTTTAACAACTTACCATTATATGGTGTTTCGACAGAATTTGTTCTAATTCTTGGCACACTGTAGTATATTCTTGTGGACAGACTTTCATCACATTATGAACCTAGGAATATGAAAAAATTGAAAAGTACAAAGTATGCCATAATTTTACTTGAAGTGACTTATTGGGTTGAATTAGAATAGAACTTAATTCTTAAATTTGTAAATTGGTATCTAAATAAGTCAATAGAAATCTAAATTATTTAATTTCCAGGAAAAATAAATACATGCAATGTAATACTTATGATATTCATTGTTTAGGGAACCCCTTTTATAGCAAATCTTGCTTGAAATTATACACTGCAACTGAAATGATAATGCATTTAACAACACTATAGAATTTGTCTGAAATACACAAATACAACTGAATCTGAGTGGGCAATTGTGAAATCCAATAAAGAATCTGATTGGTTCCTTTTTAAAAATCAATTTCTCTCCTTAGATCACCCATGGGTATCCGACAATTGATATAATGATGCACAGTATGATGTCACTTTTGGATTTGAACAATTTGATTCATGGGTTTTGTTCTATACAACATGCATTTTAATTGGTTGATTAGGACCTTGTATCCTTTGCCTGTATATAGTTGGGTGCAACAGCCTAGCCATGTTTGTTGGTCAAGATCCTGTTTGAAGGGGATGTAGCAAAAAGTTCTTGTGTATAATTTATTTCATTCCATTGATTGGAGATGTACAACATGTACAATACGTGGAGAGTTCTGAAGTCATGACAAGGTCAACAAATTATTTACCTCTCGTGACCTCTCCACAGCGTCATCTGGTGGCGGGTGGACAGGGCTCACTGTCTGTGTGTTGATCTTATCATACAACTGTCAAACAAAAGTAAAACTCAATTGTAGAACATGTATAGGCATGGACAAAATCATTTATAACTATAACTACACATTTAGTTTTTTACAACTATCTATCAAAAGCAACGTGATTTTCATATCCATTTACTTTTACAGAGTTTGTGATGCTCATAATAAAGCTCAGCACTTTCTTTTCCATGTACTACTCAATAAACTTTAGCACCTTTCTTTCCACCTGCAGCAATGAACATCCATTGATGTCATTAAAAAAATGAAGTCTTGCTTGCTACAATGGATAGCACTAGACTAAATAAGCTAACTATCATTTGCCCTGCTTTTTTTATTTTAAATAATTAAGTGTATCAAATGTGCCACCATAACTTGCCAATGGTTAATCCACAATTTAGAATTTTTTTTTAATAATCTGCGATACACATCTATTGCTGACCATGCATTTCTCCAAGGATTATTCAATATATTAACTTAAATACTCTTCATATACATAATGTATAATTAAATACATGTTTCACTTAGTTTTTATGGCATATATATTACTAAATGTTGTAAAAACCATGAGATAATAATTATGGTGGAACTTGGGAAAACTTCGAAGTACATTATTGAATCTACCTTAACAATGTTACCCCCATGTGTGTAATGTCTGGACCAATTACTAGTAATGAAATTTGAATATGATATTTACCACAAATCAAATAAACTCATCTGCAAGACGAATACATTTAAAGAAGCCAAGAGGAATATAGTAGCAAATATCAATATAAACAGATTGATCTACCTATAGAGCACTTTCAGAAAAAAAGTGTTTGTTTTAAAATTTCATTTGCACTTGACATATATCTCAAATGCATAAAAAATAAATTCAATTGATACAATTTGTATGATATGCCTCAAAATATGTCTTAGGAATAATACCAAGATAATAGAGAGCTCAGAAAAATGGCCAAATCAATATATGTTACTATACACAAACAGATCTACTTCTAGAATATATGAGTTTTTTCCAATAAAAAAATTAAACAGAGCATTCAATAGTTCCAATGTCTGTGCTGAACATTGGACTAAAATGCTTGCAATTTTAAAACATATGTCTTTGGATTACTCAGTATTTTGGTTTAGTAATGATCAGCTAGACAGATTTGGCTTATCTCCCATTCCTTTTTGAATTCTGGATTTTTAAATTACTCTCTTTCTTAATTTCCATACTCCTTAACAAACGCCTTAATGACATCCTCACTTCCCTACCAGAGGGGGATATAGCCGTCGCTTTCTCTCCTGACAGATTGATCTCTCATTGAGAGTTTGACAGATCTATTCCTTATTTGTCATGGTTTTCAGCAAAAGTGTAGCAGAAATAAGTCAAGAAAAATCAATGATTGGGGCTCTTATACCAAGATCTGTGTGCTTCAGACTCCCAGAAACTGTCGACAATTAATTCAATAAAACTTAATGCATGACACAAGAAGTGGCATTCATTTGGTTTATTGTGTTTGATAGAATGCTTCATTGCATGACCTTCTGTTTGTTATAAGGCCTCATATTTCAAAAACAAGAAGAGCAACTTGCCAAACACTCACTGCGAAACATGTTATTTAAAAAAAAAAACAACTGCAGATTTTGTATCAATTTCAAATAAATCATCAATCATTGTCCATGCTGAGAATGAATGGACAAAATGCAATAGAAATTGATTGATTTCTCAAGAACTAAGTTTGGATATGACAACTAAGACATGCAAGGATGGTCATCATTTGCATAGTAACTTGTCAACCCTAGATGATACAAAAGAACATCATTATTAAATCAGGGAATCAATAAAAATCTTTCAAGGATGACCAAAGGACTTCATTAAGTAGCATATTAACAGACAAAAGGCTTTCAAGCAAATCAAGTTTAATTAGGTTTGGATCAAAAATATCTGACCTTCCTTTTCCTTGCTGCAGCACATTTGGAGTTTACAACTTGAGCACACTCAGAGGAATGAGCCTGGACTTGTTGAGTGGACTCGGCTGCAGAATGCTGGTTGGCATACCTTTCTTCTTGGATTTTCAGAACCCAGAGCAAAGCACACAGTCTCACCATGGATCTCTCATGGCGGTTGTTATAATATGATTCCACAGTACTAGAGGAACTCATGTTATGATAGGGCTCAATGAAAGCATTCCTTCTACAGCAAAAGAAACTCTGAGCAAAAAAGGAACGCACTTTGCCGAGAAAATCTCCCAACTGGCGCATCTCAAATTATGAAAGAGAAAACTTGTCAAATATAACACAGATCTTATCATCGACTTTCAGGTGAAAAATTGCACAAATCATGGCTGAGGATATCACACAAAACAGTATTCAGGCAATTTAACGAGAAGTTTTCAAATGCATGCTTCAAATTCACCACCATTCCAAGAGAAATTTACTTAGTAAAACAGTTCATTTAACTGGCTCAGCTCTTCCAATTTAGTGGCCAAGTCTAGACTAAAAAGCAATTCCCAATAGCAAAAGTCTCCAAGATTTTTCCCTAAAGAATCAGAAAAATCTTTCTTCCAACAGATATATCAAGATTAATGTAAGAGTTACAGAATGTCATACATGGTGTCAGATTAATCCAATTGATTCCCAGTAAAAATATCTAGTTCTGAGGAAAAGCAGCAGTGTACAGGAATCCTTACTCAACATGCTCAATGTCACTTGTATAGGACAGTGATATCTAGTGCCATTTTCTCCAATAACAATCATCGTTATCCAGTGGCGTTTGCAATGCAGGGATTTTTGAAGTAATTACACTTTCACAGCGCCTATTTGATGACTTCAATTGAAACATTTCACAAACTAACCATATTTAACAAGTAACTGGTAGAAAAGAATTGTCCTTGCAGGACAATTATCTCCACATGGATAAATATGAAAAATTCTCATTCTTCAACCTTTTTTTTTAGATTGCAAAATTAAAGGCATACAATCAACCCTCCATTACCTTAGCATTATAATGCTTACACAAGTTCTGTACATGTATAAGAATGTACTAAAATTCTTTTTCCTCCGTTATTGACCACGATTAACTTGTAGTGAACCTATATTTTTTCTCCTATAAGAAACCAAATTTTTATGACAGTATCATAAACACATGTTCAAACATTTGCAGCTTCATGGTAGCTTATTTGGTTCTTGATCTGAAGGTCTTGGGTTTGAGCCCCGGCTGCGACTGAATCAATAAACATACTGACTGTTTCTTCACCAAGTGCTCCGCACTAAATTTGAAGTGAAAGTTGCAGGTCCTTCAAATGAGACCTTAAATACTGAGGCACTGTGTTACAGCAGGTACTGGCATGATAAAGACCCTCACTGCTCAATGGCACTGAGTGCCAAAAAAGGTCTTAATTCAGAGCAGTATGGTGATGTCTCTATTTGAATGAAAAATTCTGGTCCTAGATGTAAAACAACATACGATCAAACATTTGCGATACAGATGTGATGCACACAAATTTTCAATATGGCATTCCTTGTTGCCTTGACACAGGTTCCATGACAGGTTTTCTATCAAATGCAATCACTTTATCAAGTATTAAAAGCTTCCAAATGATTCACTATTACAGATGGTAACTAACCTCAGAGACATAGAAACAGGGGTCATTTATAATTCTTCAGTAATTCAAAAATATTGTTTAATTAATTTCCCATTTTTTTCTCTGATACTTTTCAAACTTTGACAACCATGCACTGATGCAAAACTGCTTCATACTCAAATTATGATCATGACCCTCTTTTAATATTCTATGAATGATGAGTCCAAAAAAGTCTTTTTATGAAAGAAAATTTCATTTGAAAACTCATCTGTCTCAACTTTCCTCGAGACCTTGACCCCTAACCTTGACAATAAAAACAATTTTTTTCTGCCCAAGGAAATTATGCCTGTCAAGTTTAAAGCTGAACAGAATTTATTTTATTGTGCACTAATATTTGGCATTTAATGTCATTTGCCAATCTTATGTTTCTAATGTTCTTTTTTTCTGTTCAAAATTTGATTTTCAAAAACTTTTAATCAGAATGAAAAAAAACTTTTAGCTAAAACAATTGAGTAAGATAGACAAACAAACATGAATATAGACAAAAATCCTGTCTGACATGAAAAGCTACTCACTCTATCCTTCACAATTGATTGGCCATTGCATGCAGCAAATTCTCTCCCTTCTATAAATAGCATTATATGAATGCAGTTCTGATCTTTCAATAAAACCCTGAGGAAATGTTTTATACAAGTCCTAAAGAATCCAAACTATTGACTCTCAGATTCTGTCTTATATGATCTAGTTCAATTATATTTGCATATAAAACATAAACGTCTGTATCAAGCTTTAAATTATAGAAGCAGAGATTGAAGTATTGAACAGAACTCCTTATTTCCCACTGACATAAAAGATCTGCAGCTACCATGTCACATTTACTGTACTTTGTAGACCTAACATCTCTTCCTGGTTTGTGATCAGAGAAATGACATGCTATACTTAAGAGATTAGATTAAATAGCAGTGCACTAGCTGCTAGCAATGGGTTCTAAATAGGTCTTGCTTAATTGTTGAAAATGATATATCGTATTATAATACTTTCTTTTTCAACTGAAGTATGGTAAAGTCATATGCACACTGCATTTTTTTTATGGATCAAAATATGCAGCTGTTCTCATGATACATTATCAATCAAACAAATTAAAACTGCTTCTTTAATCTAACATATGTTTGGCTCGTTAATTAAGATTGTCTCACGTATCTATTTGTAACACAGATAAACAGATGGACAGGTTGTGTACAAGATGATTCTGGTCATATACAAATATTTTAAGGCATGTACTTCATCAAACTTGTAATTATATTACTACACACATTTATACAAATCTTTCAGCTCTGAATAAATATATTACATCACTCAAAATCATTATCCAAAGGCAACAACTCATAGATGAGTTTGACTGCAGTGCAAATTATAACTACATGTACACCACACCTATTTAAT